TCCTTCCTGTTGTGATCCGAAGGCTCATCCTCATCCCCTGTTCCGACCACCGTCGCACTCTCGTCTTCCCCCCTCCTCCCTCCTCCCCGCGCCTGACGTCGACAACCGTGCTCCCAGAAGGCTCTCCAAGAACATCATGGTTTTGTCCGTGTTGGGGCCCTCTTGTAAGTCTGTTGGGCCGTCATTGCGCAATCTGGGAAAGCGGGGAAAGAAGGAAGCAACACTGGCTGAGTGGGGGGTGCGCTTCCATCCTCGTCATCGGCCTCCTCATTCCTGCACCTCCTCCTCCTCCTCCTCCTCCTCCTCCTCCTCCTCCTCCTCTTGTTCGTCGTCCTCCTCCTCCTCCTCCTCCTCCTCCTCCTCCTCCTCTGCCTCCTGGTCCACTTTCTCCTCCTCTTTCACCTCCTCCTCCTCCTCCTCCTCGTCCTCTTCCTCCTCCGCCTCCTTCTCCTCCTCCTTGTAGTCTCGCCATTATCATCCACATCGCCTGCCCCCGCCCTCCGTCTCCATCTGTTCCTCCTCCTCCTCATCCTAATCGTATTATGCGTCGTAGTCTTCTCGATGCTACTATTATTATGATTGGTGTTGTTGCTGCTTGTCTTATGCTTACCCATATTGCCATTCTTGATGTGAGTTTTAAGACAATCCCTATGTTTCTTATGATTATTTGTTTTCTTATGATTACTATTCTCTTCATCTCCCCATCACATCCTCTCGTACTCCTCTCCTCCTCCTCCTCCTCCTCCTCCTCCTCCTCCTGCTCCCCCTCCTCCTCCTCCTCCTCCTCCTCCTCCTCCTCCTCCTTCTCCTCCTCCTCCTCCTCACACTTGCGGCGACAGACATGTTCCTAGAAGGCTATCCAGGAACATGGATGTCTGGCTTGTGCTAGGGGCCCTCTTCGAGGCCTCTTCGCCCGTCTTTGCGCGATCTGAGAAGGACGGACGGCAGGAGCAGCAGGTCAGTTCGGGTTGCGCTTCCATCCTCGCCATCGGCTTCCTTATTCCATCCGCGCTCCTCTTTGGGTCATCCTCATTCTCATCCCCATCCCCTGACAGCGCGCTTAATCTTCCTCTTCAGCTTCTCCTCCTCGTCCTCTTATTCGGACTGGCGAAGCAGTCACGTTTCCGGAAGGCTTTCCTGGAGCATGATGGTTTTTGTCCGTGCTGGGGTCATCTTGGAGGCCTCTTGGCCCGTTGTTGCGCTACCTGGGAAGGACGGAAGGAGGGAGCGAGCATCGGCTGTAGGGGTCACGACTCCATCCTCGTCCTCGGCCTCCTCATTCCGTCCTCCTCCTCCTGCTCCTTCGCCTCCTCCTCCTTCTTGGTATTATCCGCATTGTCATGATCATGCCCTGCCTCCGCCCAACGTCTCCTTCTGCTGCTGCTGCTACTCCTCCTGGTCCTCCTCCTCCTCCTCCTCCTCCGCCTCCTCCTCCAACTCCTCCTCCTCCACTCAATCCTCCTCCTCCTCCTCCTCCTCCTCCTCCTCCTCCTCCTCCTCCTTCTCCTCCTCCTCATGGCTGCGACAGTATCCCAAAGGCCTTCCCAGAACATGATGGTTTGGCCCGTGTTGGGGACCTCCTGGGGACCTCTCAGCCCCTCTTTGCGCGATCTGGGAAGGGCGGAAGGAAGGAGCAGCGACTGAGCAAGGTGTGCGAGTCCATCCTCGTCCTCGACCTCCTCACGCCGTCCGGACGCCTACTCCTGCTCCTCCCCCTCATCCTGATCCTCCTCCTCCTTCTCCCTCTCCACCTCCTCCTCCTCCGCTTCATCTTCCTTCTCCTCCTCCTCTTCCTCCTGATCCTCCTCCTTCTCCCCCTCCACCTCCTCTTCATCGTCCTCCTCCTCCCCATCCTCCTCCTCCTCATCTTTGTCTTTGTGCCGTCCTCATCATCATCATTATCATCCTCCTCCTCCTCGTCTTTGTGCCGTCCTCATTATCATCCTTGTCCTCCTTCTATTTTTCTGACGCTGTCGACAGTCTACCTCTCCTCCTCCTCCTCCTCCTCGTCATCATCGTCAGCATAATCAGCATCAGCATCATCATCGTCACCATCGTCATCATCAACACCATCAGCATCATCAGCATCATCAGCAGCATCATAGTCGTCATCATCATGATCAGCAGCATTACCATCATCAACAGCATGATCAACATCATCACCATCACCATCACCATCATCATCATCATCAGCATCATCATCATCATCATCGCCGTCATCACCATCATCATCATCATCATCATCATCATCATCATCATCATGATCGTCGGCATCATTATCATCACCATTATCACCAGTATCATCAGCAACAGCATCAGCATCGTCATAATCATCATCATCAGCATTAACGCAGCTTCATCATGCCCATCAGCATCAGTACCATCAACAGCACCATCGCCATCCCCATCATCATCGACATGCCCATTATCATCAACATCATCATCGACACCACCATCACCAACATGATCATCATCAACGTCATCATCATCATCATCACCATCATCATCATCACCATCAACATCATCATCATCAGGATCATCATCATCATCATCATCATCATCATCATCATCATCATCATCATCATCATCATCGTCATCATCATCATCATCATCATCACCATTCTGCTCCTCATCATCAGTATCATCCTCATCCTCTTCCTATTCCTTCTTGGTCTCCTCCTCGGCTGTCGGCGACAATCATGTTCCCGGAAGGCTCTACGAACATGCTGGTCTCGGCCGTGTCGGGGCTCTCGTGGAGGCATCCGTAGGGCTTCTTGGGGGGTCGAAGATCATTGGGGGGCCGTCTGGGGGGCCCTTGGCTCCCTGCAGAGCCCTTTTGGGGTGTCCAGGCTGATTTGGAGAGCCGTCGCGGGGCCTTCTGGGCCATCTTGGGCTCCTCCTGGGCCGTCCTGGCGCCCTCTTGGCAAGGGGTGCGTTCTGGCCCCCATCGGACGCCCCTCGGGCCGTCTTTGAATGATCTGGGAAGTTTTTTGGACAGCCTCGGAGCGTCGGGAAGCGGAGCAATGGACTATGGGAGACCCATCAAAATCCGCCGACCCCTTGTGGGTCTCCAGGCGTGTGAGACTATCCCCCCCGCATTATCCCCCCCCCCAGGGACCCCAAACCGGCAATTCGACCCCGCCCCCCCCCTCGCCCGGCCGGACCCTGGACCGAACGCGCCAAAACGCTCCCCAGACGGCCCCAGGGGGCCACGAATCGCCAAAATAGCGCCCTGGACGCCCACGATGGCCTGGAGGCGGCCTCCGAAGCTGCCAAGACGCCTCAAAAGGCCACCAAGATGCGCCCAAAAAGGGTCCCAAGAAATAACAATCGCCACATTCCCTTCGAAAAACAAACATTTTTCGCACGCTCGCCGATTCGGTTTTCACAGCGTCCCAGACGGGCAAAGAAACCTTCAAGATCGCCCCCAGACGGCCACACGGGCTCCCAAAAAAGGTCGAAGAGGGTCCAACAGCAGCCCTCGAAGCCCCCAAGACAGCCCAAGAGGGCCCCCAGACGGCTCCAAGACGGAGCCCAGAGGGCACCTTGGCGAGCTTTCGGCCCCAAGACGTCCCCAGCCTGCCCCCCGAACAACCCAAGAGGCCCCGAGGGACCCCCAAGAAAACCTCAAAGGGCTCCAAAAAGCCCCCAGGAAGCCCCCAAGAGGCCCCAAAACTTGGCCCAAGATGCCTCGAGTCGGCCAGATATGGCCCGCAGACAGGCCAAGATGCCACCAAAAGGCCACAAAAGAGCACCAAGTGGTACGGTAACAACAACGAAGCAACAGGAACGATGTCGAGCGCCGTGTCATGATTCGGACAAGCCTCGTGAAATGCAGCCCTAGAGGCGCAGTCGTTTATATAGGGGTCGGCGAGTGTGGCGTAAGTCTATCAGACCATTCGAAACATCAATTATGTCTAACTTGCTGTTCCCCGTTGGAAGGCATTTGGGAACCCTGTTGGCCCGTCTAAGGTGGATGGGCCGTTCGGAAGGAAGCGTCGACGTCTTTGGGGTGTCTTGGAACCTTCTTGGCCACCCTTAAAGCCCTGGTGGCACATCCCAGCTCAATTGTGGGGCCGTCTTGGGGCCTCTTGGGGCAGCTTGGGCGCCACGTGGGCCGTTTTGACCCCAATCTGGGGTGTGTTGGGGCCCATTGGGCGCCTCTTGTCCGTCGCGGAACGGCGGAAAGCGGAGACGGCGGCAATTGGAACATCATGAAAACAATTCATTCAAAAACATCTATAAGCCTGTCCATCGGGGCCCTCCCGGAAAGCAGTTGTCATCGTCGTCGTCGTTGTCGTCGTCGTTGAAAAGTCCCGCCCTCGACCCTGGAGGGTCGAGCGCTGCACCCAGGATGGGCGCACACAGAAAGGAAAGACGGCTGCAACCGACGCCCTCTTCGACCCGGAGTCCGCCCAGAGCGGGCCCCCTGCCCCGACCCAGGATCCGCTCAGGACGGGTCCCCAGGCCCCCATGGCGCCGAGACTCGGAGCTCGAACCTCGAGCATCGGAGCCCGAGGCTTCCTGGCCTTCCACGGGCCCTCCTCGCCGCCGCAGCGGGGCGCCGCTTGAATAACTTGGGCGTCGGGGAAGGGTCCTGGGACCTGAACTGAACGGGTGATGAGGTCGGGGGTCCCCTGGGCCTCGGGGGTCTGGACGCCCCAGTTTCGCCCGCGACGCCTGGGCGTGCCTTTGGGGGCCCTCTTTGGCCGTCTCGGGCGCCTCTGCGCCCTTCTCGGGCCGCCTTGGAACCTTCGTGGAGACCTCTGGACCTGTTTGGGGGCGAGTTTGGGGGCCTCTTCCTCCTCGCCCTCCTCAGCGCAAGCACAAACAAACGCGCAGGGGACCCTCGACCTTCCAAACTTGCCCTTCCATCCGAATCCACCGACGACGGCGGAGGCGGAGGGAGATGGGAAGGAGCGCGCGGGCACTCAGGACAGCCCCAGGAAGGCGCGAACATGGCCATGAGAGGGCCCCATGGTAACACGCCCAATTGTTTCTTAGAGACGCGAGGGGACGGCGTCTTTCACTGCAATCGCGTCGCGCTGGCCGAAGGTGCTCTTGCAAACGTGCGAGAGTCCAACCTCCTTAAGGCAAGCGCGCCGGCAAAAATCATTGACTTGATCCGCGGCCTGCAAGATGCCAAAGCCAGCCTGCCGCGGTCCGGTCTGGTCGTTCAGCTGCAGCCGTTCGTAGACCAGACTGTAGGCCTGGCGCGCAAAGTGTCCTTTGATAGCGCCGACGAATCAGCGGCTAGGGCCGGCGCCTGATTCCGCCGTGAACTCATCGATGGATACGACGCCGCTCGGAGGCAGGCTCGGAGGCTCGACATTGCCTCCTCTCTGCTTTACGAGGCCAGCGATCTCGGGCACCATGGTCTTCGGCATAGCGGAAGCGCAGCAAGTGGTCCAGCGTCCGTTCACCTCGCCCGGAGCGCCATCAATGGCCTTGGCCACCTTCTCGCCAGAGCCCACGGTCAGCATCGAGGTCTGCAGCCCAGAAAATGTCCAGTGCGCGATGTCAGAAGCGTCTGGGTAAGGGAGGGCTCTCATCCAATTCAGGCTGGAGCCGGTCTGCTTAGGCCCGTCTCCCTTTGTGCCCACTACGGCGACGTAGCAAGAAAGCCATTCAAGCAGGTCCTCGTCCAGAACGGGAATCGACCAACTCTGGGAGAGCGCCCTCGTTGAGGTACACCTTGCCAATGTTGTCGAGTCACGGGAACACCATCACGGCCCTCTGGAACATCTGGGCCTGCACCACTAGGTCCACCAGGCAGGAAGCTCCATGTGCGAGACGCTTTGCAACCGCGATCGGGCTCACAATCGCGCGCGTACCAGCAGGCGTTTGGCTGACGCGAAGAATCACGTCGTGGGAAGCCTTGAAGTACTTGCTGACCGGACAGCCAAAGACGATGTAAAGACCATCCCATTCCGCCGCATTGCCGGCGCCTTGCTCCACGCGGCCCCTGGTGCCTGCTTGCTGGAACAATCAAGCCCTGGTGCTGGGGTCCATGGGCGACTTGAGTTTGGCGTGTCCCTTGTTGATCTGCTGTGCCCAATCGCCGCCGTCCAATCTGTCGAACCTCACCTCAATCTCGCGGACGGTAAGCTCAGGAATCTTGGACGTCTGGTCCAAGTCGCTAGACTTGGACTCTTTGCTCGGGACGCCACCAGTGTCTGTAGAGAACAGCCAGAGGACGCACTTGCCAATAATGTGCAGCATCGTAGACCAGAAAGCGACCGCCCCAGATTCCGTGGACCAGTTGGCGTAGCCAAAGTTTGCTAGCTCGATTTGGATGACGACCTTGGTCTCGAGAGCAAGCAGTCCTGCTTTGCTCGAGTGTAGGACATCCTGCGTGGCGACGAGCACGCGCCCATCAGGAGCAGCAGAGCCCCTTCCAGCAGCAGGGCCGAACTCGGGCCCGAGTTCGCGCCAAACGTGTTTGCCTCTTCGGGAATGCTCGCGACGTCGAAGACGCACGTTGCCCGTGACGAGCAGCCCACAAAACAACACATAGAGAAATTGCGTTTGACCGAGGCCGCCCCGCGCAATAGTCCCTGCCTCGGCTTCTTCTCCCGCATCTGCGTGCGCATCTGATGCGCAATAAAGGGGAGGCTCGTGACAATTGCCCGCATAAGCTCGCTGCGAGCCACAAGCGGAAGCCAAGATTTCCGACGATCGACGTCGAGAAAGCTTGAGCCAAGGAAACAAACCCGAATGAAACTGCAAAGCCCAAAGGACGGCACGGCGGAATCATTCGACAATCTTCAGACGGGGAAATAAGAGGTGGAGCTTGGAAATGCGATGGAGGAGGTGTGAGAAAACAAAACAATAACGGTAGGAGCTGGGAAGGCCACGAGAAGGAGGGTGAGAAGTAGCGTAAGGGGGTCTGCGACAGCCACCGTGCCAGGGTTGTGGGTCAAGGGCCTCTAGGATGTTCGGTGGGATGCCGAGGGAGGCATCGCAGGGGCCTCTTGAGGGTCGTTCTGGGGCCGCTTGGCCCATCTTTGGGCGGTCCTGGGGGGACTCCTTGGGCCGTCATGGGTTGTCCAAAACATAAAAAAGAGGACCCCGAAGAAACAGATTGGAAAAGCTAAAGGCAACCAGCGATTCTTGCCTCTCAGGGCACTCGTCTGGGGCCTCGGGCACCCACTGAAGCCTGCCAGGGGCCGTCCTGGCGCGGCCTAAAATTTTCGGAGGCCGTGCACAAGCCGTCTGCGGCGCCATCGGGGAGCGATGGGCCGGTCCGTGGAGCTGTCGTGCCACAAGGTCTGGGGCCATCCGGGCGCCCACGGGGCCACCTCGGAGGCCACGGGGGCGCTCGTGGGGCCCCCCGGGCGGCCATGCATCACCGTGGCCCATGCCCGAGTGCCGCCCGCGGCCTGCTCCTATCTATATATATATATATATATATATTTACAATAGATATTTTATTAGATATATATATATAAGGAAGTGTCTATATGTATACGCGTTATATATAAGATGGAGGTGTGTATACGTATACATATGTGGTTGTGTCTATGTGAAGAATATGTATACGCATGTGTGTATGTTAGTTTACCTTATAAGTAATATATATAATATATTAATTATATATATATATATATATTGTATATAATGTGCATATGTGCGCATATGATGTTGTATGCACGTATGCCAGCTACGGCATACATACAGCACACACCTTACGTATGTGCGCGGCCTAAAGTGATCGACGTTGGCGATGTTTGCAGGAGCAGGAGCGGGGAGCACGAGGGGATTGGGAATCCTGCGGGAGGGCACAGATCTGGCCCAACCCTGCGCACTCCCCCAAGCGCGACCACGACAATACAATTGCATTTGACTCGACAGGAATCTCTGCCCGCAAAGTATGTACATCTGTACAAACATACATACAGACATGCATATATACACGTATATGTATATATATATATATATATA